GACTCAATGATCTGTCTGGGTCCCTTCCAACTCATTGATTCTATGATTCTACGTGTTTTATATAAATCATATTAAATGAAACAAAGTTGAGGACCCCAACTTATAAATGTACAAAGCTGCTTCCTGAAAGAACCTCTGAAAGTACCTCAAATCTCTGGGTCCATTCCTGTGCCAAGGTTCTCCTGCATTCCCTCAACTTGCACTTCAGCTTATGGGAATCAAGAGTGTTTAGCACCCTGCAGGATTTAGGGCAAATCACCCATCTTTAAGTTTCATTTGGTCTCAACCCCTCTCCCATTACAATTATTTTGAATTTGAAATATTCTGTTTCACATACAAGATATTTCTCAGGCTCACATATGTCTGAGGTCAAGAAGCTATGATGGGCTACATGGCCACATGGACAAGATATTGCTTCTTGAGAGGTATTCTACCAATATGTTTTTCTCCACAGTATGAATATTCTCTACAATATAGCTTCCAAAGCAAAATCATATACATCACAGAAAATTTTAATTTGCATCAGAATTTTATTTTATTTTTCACTGAAGAAAACAAATATTTATTTAACCAAAACAAGGACTTTTTAAAAATAATAATAAAAATGGTTTTGGTTTATGTTTTATATTTTAAAAGAAAAATATTTGCAGAGGATTTAGAAAGAATGACATTTTCCAAATTCTGCACACACATCTCTCTCTTTCCCCTACTCCACACTGCACTCCCACCTCCTTGCCTAGTCAAAACGGCCTGCTTTGAACAGCCGTAGTCAGGAGCAGCTCTGAAGAGACCTCACTTTGCAGAGTGGCTGAGAACAGCTAATTGGGATACTGGGCAGAAGCAATTCTGAAGAGGTTTTTGCTTCACAATGTCTCTGGGAACAGCTTGAACAGACAGGTGACTAAAGAGAAGAAATGATAAAGAAACCTCTGCATAGCAGTGGGTGGGGAGAGAAAAAAGATCAGAGATGAAGAGAACTTAGTTCCACTGGGAATAGCTGACACAGAGAGATAGTCAAAAGCTGTTCTAAAAGGCCTAGATCAAAGACAACCCCACATCCTGAGGTGTCCTCTATATGCAAAAGAACCAGCATTTAGAAAGCCCAGATGACTTACTGAATATTCATAAGAACTTTAGAAATATACATAGATATTCCTACTTCATGAATACCTTTCTCAGATAGCACCTGGGTGTGAATCTTTTCACACTGCCGCCATTTAGCATCCCTGGGATAATGTTTCAGAAGACAGGTAGAAGATAGAAATGCAATAACCAGTGTTACACCACTGCACCTGTCCCATGGGCTGAGTCAATTCAGAACTCAAAAGTGGGCAGTCACAATGGTTAGTGTGAGAAACCTCCTCCATGCCAACTAAGGAAACTATTTCACCTGGACACTCAGGATGCTTTATCCTCCCCTAAATTGCCTCATTTAGTCTGATTATTTGGTGTACACATTACATATTATGGAAACTAGAGGTGGTAGTTTATAGATCATGTGGGTGTAAAGGAAGAGTTGGCCTTCCTGGAGGACTGCATTACTGGTTAGATATACTGCTTTTCTCCGCTTCCCCTTTGATCTCATTTTCCTCACAATTTTCACCATTAAAATAGCAACATTTTATCTCAATAGACTTTCATGGCAAGCTGTTTAATTTGTTCTTCATCTAGTAAGATTATTTTGTGGTTTGTAATACTTTGTGGCAACACTTATGGGGGGGAAATCAACTTAGTACTTGCCACAGCATTTGGTGGAAAATAAGAAGAGCTGCTTTTTACTCTGAAGACCTCACTGAGAACTTGCTGGATCCATCCTTGAGCATATGATAGAGACAACCTAAATGCTATAGGTCTTCAGTTAACTAACTGCTGAGATAGGCTCAGACCAACCCAGAATTTCTATGGTTATTCCTATTCCTCATGCTCTGAAAGTTCAGTCCAACCCAGATCAAAGCAACCATGCCATAATAGAAGCCATTTTAGAAGCAGTAATACCTCAGTCATAAGTCTAGCTCAGGAATGTTGTGTGCTGATGGCAGCAGCACATGCAGCAATGGCCGCAGGCCACCACAGGCAGGACCAGGCTGGCAGCAGTGGCAGATGTTACTCTTGTGCCCTCCCTAAGTTGGTGCCCAGGGCTGGTGCCACACTCATTCCCCCTTAGTCATGCTACTGATCTCAGTGTTTCAGCCATGCTGAGCGGGAGCAAGGCTGTACAGCAGGTGTAAGGTGAAGTAGGCATCTCCCACCTTCCCCACCAGATGCCCACCTGCATGTGAATGGCTTGGCTTTCTCAAGACAGTGTGAGCAGCCCAGCCCCCTCCTGCTGCACCACCCCACCCCACAGGAGCAGAGGCAGGAAGTAAAAATTGGAGAAGGGCAGAGGAGCCCATTGAACACAGTTGCCACAGCAGGAGCAACAGCAGAAGAGGGGTGGATGGCAATGGCAGCCATGCCAGAAACCCACAGGCCACATATTAACCTTCTGGGGGTGGATACATATAGCCTGCCAGTTGGACAGCCCTGGTTTATACCTTCAGATATTCACTGATAAAATGCAAATGCTGCATCTTCCATTTAGGAACCAACTGGGGGAAAGTCTGCTGGAGATGTAGTGCAGAGGAAGAGCTGTCAAACTCCTGATGGAGAAATTGCTTTGGAGCTCAGTAGTTCACACTGACGCTCGGAAAAGATTTTAACAGACTCTGAGCCTCAGGTAAGTACAAACCCTGTGGTAACTAAACTGACACCAAACATGCAGGATCTATGCAGCCCCTGCAGGATGGCAGACACAGAAAGCCAGCAGATGGTCTAATCTGGCTACTACCACAGCAAAAAGATTGGTCTTGAAGTCAAGGTTACAGAAATGTAAATTTAGTCCTTTTCTTTGCAACAGACTTCCTATGCCACATGGGTAAGACAGTTGGGGCTAGAACTTCGGCTTCTAACTTGCCTATATTCATTCTTCCAAAGAATTGAGTAAGAGCTCATGCTTCTTTTACAACATTTCTACTGTCATCATGGTGTCAACACCCACTATTTATAAAATAGTTTATGAGACAGAGTGCTAATCCAACACAACAGGAGACCTAGGTTCAAGACCTCTCTCAGCCTGAGGAAGCTGAAAACTTGATTTCTCACTACCTCCAACCAGCGTAGCTCACAGCCTACTGGTTTGGACTGCCTCCTGGGAGATAAGAGCTGTGAGTTTGAACTCCCTCAGAGTGACGAGGCATTTAATGGGACACTACTACTTCCTAGGTGAGTGCTTTAACCACTAGGCCTTAATATAGACAGTGGGTAGTACAGCCATCTTAAAAAAATCCTCCAGAATTGTATTCTATAAGGAGCCCAATACTCTTGGACACCGAACACAGGACATGGAATAGAAAGCAAAGCAGCAAATCAGGAAGGGGAAGGGGATCCAAGTAGAACTTGGGGAAGGCATGGTACTTAATCTGTGATCCATCTACCAAAAAGCACCCCACCCCCACCTGCCACATCCCTGCCAAAAAGCATCCCTAGGATTATACCAGTCTAACTAAGATCAGAATATGGCCTGTTTTAAAAATAAGTCTAAATTCAGTTTATACTAAGTTCCCTCTTCAGGACACTTTTCAGTACCAAAGTGGTGTAAAGCATCTTATGTTAGTAAAATTTTAGTTTCTATGTGATGTCAATAATACAGATAATTGCCTACTCTTTGTTCTGATCTGACTACCTGTTTCTCTCATGTCTAGCATATTTTTAGTCTTGCATATTTCTGAAACAGTTTTAAATTGCAGATCAATGTAATATAAATTTTCAATAGATACTGATTTTACTACATTAAAATAAATCTTAGAGCAATTATTCCCCAAATCTCTGACTTTTCTCCCAGTCCCCATATTTGTACCTCACATTCAATGGATTTTAGTATCTGATGATTCCAATACGTGGCTTTATTTCACCTTGGATATTTATTGCAGAGCATTTATTTGCATCCGTCTCCAAATATCATTTTATCTGGAGAAACTTAAATTTTAAATCATTTTGCATCCTCCTGTCAATGCCAGTGTTGTACTTACTCTGAGTGACGCCTGTCAATTCCACTGAATAACTCCCACAGCTCCTCAGAACTTAGGATTCCATCAGCAAAATAGTTTTTAAACTCTTCAAATGACAGCTTTCCATCATCTGCATTTAAATGAGAGAAGAATAATTATACATCTGTTGCAGTAGCATCACAGGCCTTGGTTCCACCCAGTAGAGTCTGTACTAGAAATGGGGGGTGATTGGGCATGGCCTGCATAAAAATTAGAGCTGAGAAATGTCAGTGAAACCACATCCCACCAGAATGTGTCATGCTGTTGAAATAAAAAAAAACTTGGCAAAACAGGAACAATTTGCCTGGAATTTCATTTCAGAACAACCAAGGAAAAGAATTCTTATAATGTTTCAGTCTGTTCAGAATGAAAGATCCTGAGTTTTCATTTTGGAATGACTCTCCATTTCGAATCTTTTAAATTTTGTGTTATAATGTTGTAACAATTTTAAGTCAGATTTTATGGAAGAAAATACTGGTATCCTACTTGATGCAATAAGATTTTTTTGCTTTCCCACGTGGAGAATTTTGGTGGGGTTTATTTAGATTTGGAAACAAGCCAGATTCTGCCATCTTGAAATCCTCTGTGAAACAGAACAGCCCTCCACTCTTGGCTCTGGGGGACACACAATATTTCAATGAATATTGGTCTGTTGCTACTCAAGGCAAAATCCAGATCAGCCTCTTAGGCACCTCCAACATAGACTTCAACATATCTAAATATTAAGTACTTATCCCCAGGAGAATGATTCAACAAAACAGGATTAGGGGCCAAGGCTCTCTATGCAGTCAGTGGAGAGGGATTCGGCATCTCTGGAGGGCAAGTTTGAAAGCCTGGGTGCAGAGTTCGGAAATGACAAATCTATACAAAAGGGGAGTTCCTGGTTTTGCAGTTTCCGAGTTTCATAGATTCATAGATATAGGGTCGGAAGGGACTTTGCAGATCTTCTAGTCTGACCCCCTGCCCTGGGCAGAAGAGAA